AAAATGCTGAAATATTTCTTTTATAAATCCAAATAAAATAATTTACTTTAAAACATTTTTTTATGAATCGGGTTCGTAAGAAAAAATATTTTTACAGCCTGGCTGTGGCATAAATTTTTTTAAATAAACCTAGGTCGCATAAATTTTTTCTAGAAAATATCCAGGTCAGGCCTGAAATTTAACCAAAACTGGGCCGAAATTCTTTTTGGGAAATAATATGAACCAGGCCTTCCGAAATTGTTTTATTTACAAATACGGACTGGGTCGAGCATTTGGTACCTCTGCAGGACACTGATGTAAATATTAATATAACTGATCAACTATAGTGTATATTAAATCAAATTTATTAATTAATTTTTTCAAATAATTTATCATTAAGCCTTTGTCTTTTCCGGGCATTTATTATTGTACCAAAATTAAATAATCCTTCAAATGGAACTGATGAAGTATTATATTTTAGTAAGATTTATTCAATCGAATTTTTACGATCTTTATTTGTATTAAATTTCGGAAATATCTTTTCACTAAAAGAAAAATAATCATCTTGGTTATCAGGTAATCAAATGATATTGTAGTTAGGTTACGTACTACCATTTTTATTGTCTGATTCAATCCATAATTCATAAAATATGTATATGCTAATTGAAATAATTGGAGAAGTAACCGTAGGAAGTTCAACCGTCCGGGAGGGGGGAGGATCGCTGAGTTCGATGGTCCGAGATTTTCGGATAGGGTGACAGGGGGAACAGACTTTGCGGACATTTTGGTCATTGTACTAAACACTACAAAAAAATAAAAGGAGTAGTGCTATCGGTATTTCTTTATAAGGGTCTTTTACATAACCGTGACGGCTACCGCCGCACTGCAGTATCAATGCCCACCTAAGTTAAATTGAGAAATAACGAACAACATTAGCGGCACCACAAGATTAGGGGCATACGCCGCATTGTAAGATTAGTGCGGATTTAAAACTTTGGTTAACTAAAAAAATATAAGGAATGGCATTCGTCGCACAGCAGGATTAGAGCGGTTTTAATTCCTAAATTAATTTGATAAATAACGGCATACGCCGCACCGCAGGATTAGTGTGGATTTAGATTTACCTAATCGGAGGTCGTCAAGGTCGATCATATATGGGGTAAGTAAAAAAATTAGTCGCAAATAATTTATTAATTTAAGTAAAACAAATATTTTGTCAAAAAATTAATTCTCTGGTTACATAATTTCATTTAGGATTTTGATTTGTAAAATTTGATTTTTGGTAAAGTCATTAGGTATTGAGTTCGGGGAGTCATTTTTATTTTTATAATTTTATGTTTTAGTTTAATCGCGTTAACAATTTATCTTTAGATTTATAAAAGATCATCATTGTAAAATGCGATAATTTATAATTTCTATAAATGTATTTTTATCTTATGATTTAAAATTTGAGGTATGAGTAGGTGCTTTATAATTGTAAAAGAAGATATTTTTAGATTGTTAACACTAAATATATTTAAAATATTATTTATAAAAAATTTATAATTAACTTTAATGAGAATATTTTTACAAATTGTAGAGTCAAACATTAGTAAACAATTAACAAAACTAACACAGAAACGATACATAGTACATAACACTAGAAATGTATTTTTATCTTATAATTTAAAATTTGAGGCATGAATAGGTGCATTATAATTGTAAAAGAAGATATTTTTAGATTGCTAATTTTTAATAATTTTTTAAATTATTTTCCCTAATTTTTTAATTGATATTTTTTTTGATTAAAAAATTGTAAAAAAATTAGAAAATAAAATTTTGTCTCCATTTTTAGTTATTTTCATTTTGCTGATAGAGTAATAAGCGGCCAGCGTGATGGTTGGTGCCGTGACCAAACCGTCAATTAGTGGAAGTTAGCGAAGAATTAAAAACAAGAGACCGTGTGGAAGTAGTAGCGAGGAATTGAAAACAAGAAACCGTCAATTAATGGAAGTAGTAGCGAGGAATTGAAAATAAGTAACCGTCAATCAGTGGAATTAGTAGCAAAGATTTGAAGAGATCATCAATTAGTGGAAGTAGTAGCAAAGATTTAAAAACAAGTAACCGTCAATTGTTATAGGGAGAGTGAAAAAGTAGCGAAAGTGTTATATACTGTTGTATCGTTTCTGTGTTAGTTTTGCTAATTGTTTCCTATTGTTTGACGCTACAAGTTGTGAAAATATTCTTCTTAGTGAAGTTAATTATAAATTTTTTATAAATATATTGCAAAATATTTTAAATATATTTAATATTAAAATTATTTAGAGATAAAATTTTTAGAAATTTTTTTTTTGGAAATTAAATATTTTGAAAATTGTAAATGAAGAGTTTTAAAATAACAAAATATGTGGAAGTACAGTATAATAAACTGGGAGCAGTGGTAGTGTTGCTAATTTAGTTGGGAAGTCTATACTTCGGAAGGAGGGAGCGCAAAAACAGGAGTATTAGGATACGTGGACAGACGCTGTTGATTGAAGGACACAATGGGGAAGAGGATAGATATGGAAGAGTAACGTGCCTGTACAGGAGATATTGCATGGATGGGCGAGTAATGGAGATTTGAAGATGAGCGAATACAGGAGATATTGCATGGATGGGCGAGTAATGAAGATTTGAAGATGAGCGAAAAGGGGAAAAGATGTGAAGATAGAAAAATGGAGATGTATCGAGGTCGTGGAGAATCAAAAGGGAAGCGAAATTGTAAATTTTTTAATTGATATTTTTTTTATAAAATTGCAAAAAAATTAGAAAATAAAATTTTGTCTCCATTTTTAGTTATTTTCGTTTTGCTTTGTTAAAAATATTCCTGACCCCTCAAGACCTAGACCTGCCCACTTAGAATACTAATTATGGTTACAGTCATATAATGGAATTACCTTTTAATTGATGCCCATATCAATATTTTGTGTAGTTAAAAATATTTCTGACCCCTCAAGACCTAGACCCACCCATTTAGAATAATAATTATGATAACAGTCAAAATATAATTAAAACACCTTTTATTTGACGCCCATATCAATATTTTGTGTTGTTAAAAATATTCCTGACCCCTCAAGTCCTAGACCCACCCATTTAGAATAAATATGATTACGGTCAAGATATAATTAAAACTCCTTTTATTTGAATATTAATGTTTTGGATAAAAATATTCCAGACCACCCAAGCCCTACATTAGCCTATCAAGAGGGAATACTTGTTCACCTAATGAATAAATCTTATATATTTCCTAAGTTCAACAAAAAAATAATAAATGGGTTTTCGTGCTGGGTCTGGACTCCAGGTCTGAACCATGAGTCTGTGCTCAGGGTTAGTTATCAGTAGGGGTGTACCGATACCACTTTTTGGAGGCCGATCCAATCAGATCCGATATTCCAGATATTTAATTGATATCGGCCGATAACCGATCCGATATCATATCTAATTTTGTATTCTGTAAAGATACCGGTTTTAATTTTTAATATTCTTTTTATTAGTACAACATCTATAATTTTACTATACCATAACATATGTCATTTAAATATATTATAATGATCAGTTATAGTTTATATTCAATTCAATTGCAATTATTTATATAATAAGTAATAACATTAATCTATTTACATAATTAGTAATAAACAAATATATTGAAATTTGAAATTAATATATAAAATTAATTTATCGAAGATTTCTTTTTAGAAATACCAAAATTTCCAATTTATCAGAGATTGGTCTGCGGTGATGGGGACTGTTAATCTAGTATCACTAAAAACAGATTCTGAAGAGATTAATGAACACTTTTTTAAACAGAATGCGAAAAAAATAACTATATTGCAGAATGTTTATTAACTAATTATTACTATTAAAATAATTAAACATAAAAATATATTTCGATTTTATTTATAAAAAAAAAGGATTTTTAGATATAACTTTTTTTAAATTTTGTTAAAAGCGCCATTTTATATCAGATCGGAAAATTTTATAATATTTACCGATAACCGATATTTTAAAATGGGCGAAATATCGGCCCGATCCGATCCGATATAAAATATCGGTACATCCCTAGTTATCAGAGCAGGTCTGAGCACAAAATTGGGTTGTAAATTTTATGACCATGCAAATTGACAACAGTAAATCTGGGCCTGCAAATTTTTCTTTTAAAAAAATCTGGGTTGGGTCAGGCTTGAAATATAAAACCCAGGCAGAACAAGGCAAAAAATTTTTTTTTTAAATCCAGGCCTAGCCATATAAATGGTATTTCTGTAGGTCTGATATAAAAAAAATTTGAAATAAATAAATATATAAATTTGTATTTATTTTAATTACCATTTTATGTAATATATTCCTAAATAATAATAGACTTGGGCTATTTTTTCATAAATCATTATATATAGGTTTTAAGTTTTAGAGCTAATTACGAAGGTTTAAACTTACACATTTCTACACCCTCAATGGAAGTACAATTTAAAAATTTTTTTTATGATAATAAGAAAATAGGCAAAAAAATTTCAACTTCACATCTAAATCAAAACAAATATAACCTAGAAAAAAACTATAAGTTTGGAAATCTTAAAATTGGCTCATGGCATATTTTTTAAGTCAGCTCAAGTAAGCCAATTTTTAAAGCTTATCTATTTGTAGTTTTATAAAATAAACTTATATATCTCAATCTACAGTCAATAGTTTAGGTTAAATCCAAATCTTAGCTTAGTTAGGCCTATCTGGACCTGCCTGAACTGAACCCAACATTATTGTGGAGTCAAGAACTCTGCAAGATTCTAACATTTTTTAAAAATTATATTTCATAAAAAATTGCCATAAAAATATGAATGAGCAAAAAGTGATCCCAAAAGAACAAAGTATGAAATTAGGCTGATGTGTCAGTGCTTGAGTCAAAAAATTTGGTCAATCCGGTCAGTCAATTAGGTTAGGTTGGTCCTGATATATTTTTTGACCTCAACCCTAAAACCCACTCTAATAACAAGTCTAAATATTTAAATATTTACATATAATTAAGGCAAATGTATTTGGTAAGGTGCGACTAGCATAAAACATAATATGAAATTGAGTGCTTGATATAATTAATGTCCATCTTGCTATGGAATGCCCAAATTTTTTATAAATTGATTTATAAAATCGATAAAATCCAGACATAACAAAGAGTCCTAATATAGCTCTAACTAAAGTTAAAGTTTAAAAAATATTAAGGTATATTATGTACCTAAATATAAAGAATAAATTTTAGAGATGTCTAAAATTTTCATAATATTTACAACAGGAAAGGCAACCGCAGATATAATTAACGGGCCAATAAATGTTCTAGGAACAACACCTGGAAATTCCAAATGGTCAAACTAAATAAAAATTTAATAAATAATCTTATAAATATTACATCTTCCAATGATGTGCCATACAATATATCATAAGTCGCTTGTAAATTAAAACTTTCCTCAACTTTGTTGTAAGGACAATAAAACAAATGAATAAGCAAAATTAAGCAGAGATATATCATAATATTTATGTCTTCCATTTTCAAGAATCATCTGCTAATTGGTACCTAATATAATGATTATAAAGAGTTCAGGTGCGGATGACATTTATCTAACGTTTCAAGAATGACATATTTTTTCTTGAATTTTTAATTTCCTAAGGCAATTAAAAGACTTCAAATTATGTAAAAGCAATAATAACTTTTAAATCTAATCAAGGGCGCTGGTAGTTATCTGCCCTCGCTTTGACTGTGAAATGAAGTGATTTATTTATGTATAAAAATATACTATATATTTACAATTAGTTATTGTAGTAATACCGACTACTAATTATAAACAATACGACTACTAATTTATATTTCAATTTATTTCTAACATCAAATTTATATTAATTAATTTTCGAATATTCTATTCTATTTTTATATATAATATCTATAAATAATATTTTACTAATTTATTACATTTCCTTCAAACATTTTAAAGTTAGATTTCTTCAATAAACCTCTTTGTAGGTTTACGGTTTCTTGATGAACAACGTAATGTGGTATTTGTATTTGTGTTTGTATTTGCTTCATTCACTGGCACAACCATTTCTGTAACTTCCAAAGAACTTTCATGATTTGGGATAACTAAACGATTTCTTAACTGATCTGCATGCTTCCGTAATGTTTTCCCGGAAGATTCAACAATATAAGAATAAAGTCCTATTCTTTCTTTAATTACTCCCTCTCTCCAACCATTGGTATTTTCATTATTTAACCATATAGGTTGTGAGATTTCAAATTCTCTTTCCTTTAAATGTAAATCATGGTGAAGGCTTTATTTATCATTGGCCCTTACTATTTCGTGTTCGGCATTTGGTCGGATCCAATCCAGACTTGTTTTCAATTGCCTCCCAAACATAATTTTAGCAGGAGATCTCCCTGTGTAGCTATGCTCTCCCAATCGATAGGTTGTTAAAACCTGTGTCATAGCTTCTTCGGGATCGCTAATTGAATCTCTCGTCGCATGACCTTTCAAAGTTCGTACTGTACGTTCAGCTAATCCATTATTTTTGGATGATAGGGTGCCGAACGTATATGACCTATATTATTTAAATCACAATACCTACGGAATTCCCCTGATAAGAATTGTGGTCCTTTGTCTGACACACTGTACTTGGGTATTCCAAACCTAGCAAACCATTTATTTAGTCGTTTTATCATAGCATCAGCAGAGGTATTCTGCATTAGATCAACTTCTAACCATGGTCTATTTTTCTGGCATCCAGAACATATTTTGATAAAATTTTCTATATCAACATCACATCTGGGCCACGAACAATACAATCTAAAAATAGATTTCATTACATTTTCCCCAGGATGTCCCCAGTGAATCATTCCTAACACTGCATTTCTTAATTTATTAGGAATAACCAATCTCCCATTCTATAATATTACGATTGACAGAAAGCTCTTCCCGTCGATTATAAAAATTAACTATTTCTTTATCTTTATGACGATCAAAGTTTCGCCAACTTAGCTGAATATGTATTGTTACTTTTTTTAATATTAAATCTTGCTTCGACTCTTTTCGCAGAATATTTTCTGACAATTGCATATCATCCAAATTAATACTTCGAATATCCAAAGCATGTTTAGAATCTTGATTCTCTTCTGAAATTTCATGGTGTTTATTAATCAAATCTTGAAGTGTTATGCAAAATTTTTCTTTTTCAATATTGTTGACCAAATTGAATAATTGTTCAATCATAACCTGACAAGGCATTTCTAAATTGAATGCTATAATCCATGGTAATCCGAAAAGAAGCACCCCAGTTGTATTCATTATTACCACTGGTAGGGTCCTTGTCTGTGATCCAATCGTAACATTGACTTGAGTCTCGCCCTTAACGTCTAACGGATGATCACCATATGCAGTCAATGAACTGGTTGGCCTAATTTTTGGTCGCCCAATACTTGTCCATATATCAATTCCTATCAATGACGCTTGTGCACCAGTATCAAAATCAAATTCAACATCTAACCCATTTATCTCTGCAGTTAGTTTTGTTCGATTCTCTCGATTTTGTTGAATCTTCCAAATTATTGAATAGAATCACTTGATGACACTCTTATATAATTTAAATTCTTTGATTTACAGCAAACTGCGAAATGACCAATTTTTTTACATTTATTACATGCCGCATTTGTAGCTGGACATCTCACTTCTCGGTTATGAATAAAACCACATTTATAACATTTAATTTTATTATAATCTTTATCATTATTATATTTGTATTTATTATTCTCTTTATCAAATGTATTATTATACTTGACTTTATTATAGCCTTTATCAAATGTAGTCGTCGTTTTAATTGGATGTTTATAATTATTATCATAATCATTATCATATCTTTTGTTATTATCATTTATCTTATTAATAACAGGCATATTTTTATTTGCCATTTCTTTATCTGCTCGCTCAGAAACAATGCCAGATCAAAAATAAATTGAAAAGTCAGTATATTATTATCTCTATCAAGACCGTCGGGATATAGAGCTCTAAGATCTCTTTCCAATCCAGGTATTTCCATGCCAACCATAAACTGATCACGTAAACGCTCGTCAATATCATTAAGATAATGACAACGCTTGCCAATTGTTCTAATTTTATCTGCAAATTCAGTTATGGTTTCAGTTGTTCTCTGTAATCTAACGAAATCAAATCTAGAAGCAAAAGCTGTTGACGTCGGTTGAAATAGTTTAAAACATATTGACTTAATTTGCTTAAAAGATAAAGTTTCGATCGAATCAGGATAACAAAAAAGGTCCACCAACTCAATATTCTTATTGCCAAAAAATGTTAAAAATATATCTTTATATTGACATTCAGATGGGCTTACGTTTTTTAACCGAAAACTGGCTTCCCATTGAGAAAAATATCTATGGATTGAAGTGTCCAACTCGAATTTATCAAATTTAATTGTATCTAAATCCGCTATTTTTTTTGAATCTCCATTTAAGGAATTATTTTCTCCATTTGAGGAATTATTATCTCCATTTAAGGAAATATTTTCTCCATTTATCGTCGCCATTTGTAGTAATACCGACTATTAATTATAAACAATACGACTACTAATTTATATTTCAATTTATTTCTAACATCAAATTTATATTAATTAATTTTCGAATATTCTATTCTATTTTTATATAATATCTATAAATAATATTTTACTAATTTATTACAGTTATAAATCCAGTTGATAAGCTAACTTGCAATGTATAATAAGCAATTATAATTATCTTGAATATAACAACATCATATGAATAATACACAATTATATTAATCTTGTCTTGTCATGCACAGGTTAAACACACAGTTAAATGGCATCCACCACCCAAAAGAGAACGTATCCAGTGTAGTGGATTTGCATCCACTGTTTGGCAGTATTTACCTACTGTCAGGGCCCATTTAATTAAAGAGGAATGATGGTACCTCTCGTGGATAAGGAGGATCTACTAAATTTAACAATAATTTACCCTACTGTCAGGGATAATTATCTTGAAATATCCGAATAACATTACAATACATAAAACATATATTAATTGATTGATTGATTAACGGTCTAATTGACAACTCTTCACTTCAATCATAACATTTCCCTCTTTTACTAATTCTACAACATACCATTAGCGGACGAAGTCATCACTGATCCATCAAACCATCTCATTTGTATATCTATCTCATGTACATACCATTATAACCATTACCCCTTCAAACTAGCCCATCTTGTTCCATAACAGTCATTCATCCCATTCAATCTTTCCCAATCCATCATAGCATCCTTTTTCATATACTTACCATTTGATCCAAATCAATTATTATTCTCCGTACATTCATCCCTTTGACCAGCCCCTTTATACCCATTTAAACCATTACCAATCAGCCATCATTCCTCATATCTATTCAATCTCCCATAATCTCATAGGATCATTCTTCATATCAATACCATTTGATCCAAATCAATCATATAATCATTCCTCATATACACTCATCCCTTTGCTCATTGCTCATCTTCTCAATCATATTTCGCTTGACCATTTCATCTTGCACCATTTGCAACATTACCGATCACATTTCGTTTGACATTTCCTCTTGTCCCATTTGCAGCATTCCCAATCACATTTCATTTGACCACTTCATCTTGCCACATTTGCAACATTCCAATCACATTTCATCTGACCACTTCAGTGGCATCACTGGGGAAGGAAAGATCGCAGGGGCTCGAGTCGAGCCCCTTGAATAATTTGAATAGCCACCTGAAGCAAGAAATATTTTTTTTAATGGAATCTTAACCCCTTAAACTAAAAATAATTTTTTGATTGGCCCCTGAACGATTTCTTTTATAATTCTATTAAGTAATATATAGATTTAATTTTATTATTTAAAAATTAATAAGATTGTCTAAATTTTTATTAAATGAATATAATTTTAATTATTAGATTAGATTAGATTAATACACATAAATTATATTTTCATTATGTCAGCTTGCAATCAAATTCTGTGTTAAAAATAGAATATCAATATCACTCACTAAATATAAATTTAGCATTAACAGTTGAAGCTTAATTGACTATTATTATTTAAATTATTATATAACCTTAATTAAATAAGTATAATCAATTATTAATTGAAAACTAACAAATTTAATATTGTAATTAGCCGAGTTCAAAATGACTAATCAACTGTATATTTATTTTTAAATTAAATTATCATATCTATTCCTAAAAATATTTTCAAGGTCCAAATAAATATAAAAGATTTCTTTATAAAAAGTAAGTAATCGACATATGGATATATAGTTTATATTCCTCTATTATATACAGTTGGTTATAAAATATTAGATAAAATGCCACTTTTATAGACGTATTTGACAGTTATATAATATATTACAGTTAATATTATAATAAATTTTACAAATAAATTCTTTTGATAATAAATATTGTAACAATTTGCATTCAACTATTTAACGCATCTATTTAGTTAAAAATAATAAAAATTGAACATTTTATTATTC